ATAGATAGATAGATAGATAGATAGATAGATAGATAGATAGATAGATCAACACTTAACTCAGTGAAATAGATAAACTGTTTCTTCCCTTGCTTTGAATTCTGCATAATTTATGGAGGGCTCCATGATCAAGAGCCTTTCTGTTCTCTGATAAAAATGGTCTTTACCAAAAGTCATTTGTGTTTTCCCTACCCCCACTTTCTAAAAGGTTACTCTTGCTAAGGTTTGCTAACTGTTCTTTCACTTTCCTTCTTTTTTTTTTTTAATTTATAGACTGCAGAGAAGACAAAGCCTCGAAACATTCCTGCAAAGTAAGTTATTTTAAAACTCATTGAAAAGGAGGAGCGGGGTGGAAATCAAGTTTATTGAACTGCAAGAAAAGAGAACAAATCAAAAGCCCACAGCCAGGTATTAATGATATTATGAGCAACTGAGGCTACTCTGTAGTTGTTGCCATAAAAAAGGAAGGAATGGCAGATAAAAGCATGATCAACAAGAATAACCTTAGTTCATGGCTCTCTCGTGGATGGCATGCCCCAGTCATACCTGGTTTGCATGAATTAATATGTGGCATCTATGAATAGCTGTTCAGAAATATTAGATGTGGCATCTGTAAATAACTGCTGAATAATAATAATAATAATAATAATAATAATATTATAATAATAATAATAATAATGCCATTTCCTTTAAGAGAGTCCTAGAAGAAGAACTAAAGAATCTACTGCACATAGGTTTTAAAAGCATTCCTCACTGTGCTCTATTTCTAAAATTTGGGAGAGTTGATTGATTGATTGATTGATTGATTATGTACCATCAAGTCAGTGTTGACTCTTAGTGATCACATAGGTAGATTTTCTCCAGGACAATCTGTCCCCAACCAGGTTCTTCCAATAGCGCACCTATCACCACTATAGCTGAGTCTATCACCTTGATGCTGGTCATCCTCTTCTTCTCTTCTATTTTCCCAGCATTATAGACTTCTCCAGAGATCTAGGTATGACAGTTTGACCCTTGACATTTGTGCCTCAAGTGAGAGCTCTGGATTGATATGTTCTATGATCCATTTGATTATCTTCTTGGGGGAGGTAGAGGTTCCATAAATAGCTGTTTGGCGTGTTTCATGCCTGATCATAATAATACATCTCATAATAATTTTGGTACATCCTGAATGTTCCTAGTTGGCCATGGTGTGACACAGAATGCTGGACTCAAAAGGCATTGGCCTGATCTAGTCCAAGGATCTTCTTACCATGGGCATCTGCGAGAGTGAGGTTCTCCACATCAGATATTGTGACACCATTACATAAATGTGTCATTTGTGTCCTGATATGACGATGCCCATGGAATCATTTTGATGTCATCACCTGTCCATTTCCAAATAGGACTGGGTAATTCAAAATTCTCAGCTTTCATGGCTAGTTGTGCGAATATGTTGAAGTAGAATATGTGTGAATATGTCTCAGTAGAAGTTACAGTTGCACCAGGAATCAAAAATCCTCAAGTCTGAAAGATAAGGGAAATGGGGAAGGAAGGAAGGAAGGAAGGAAGGAAGGAAGGAAGGAAGGAAGGAAGGAAGGAAGGAAGGAAGGAAGGAAGGAAGGA